TAGTTGAAGTAAATAACATTTTTGAATGTCAACCCAATTGACATCAAGTCTGGGTGATAAAACAGCCCTGGATAACTGAAGGTGGGGGGCAGCCCTGGATAACTGAAGGGGGCGGGGGGAACAAGCTATCTTCTTCAAGCAAACATTTTCACTCCCTTATCTGTAGCACCATTTCTAAAAGGCTTAGTATTGCAGGATACTGAAAGGAGTGATATCAACATTGCCTTGATCTCCAAATATGCTCAAGTCTTTTCCCCAGACCTCATATGGGGCATTTCATCATTTGGTTTATAGACTGAGAGAGGCTGTGTGTTCTGAGCGGCAGGGGTTGAGCAGAAAGCTTCTCAGCTGTGACAGGAAAGGGTTGAAATAGTCTTTGAGTTAAGCTTGCAGAGCAAAGCCTGAGGACATCAAACGTCTTTGTCCAGACTTGGCTTAGCCGCTAACAACCAAAATTTACTGCAGGCGAATGCTAAACCTCCATATTCAACTGAGCCCAAACTCACCCCCAAGGATACCAGGGCATGAACCCTCTCTTCCTCAGATCTTCTCCATATTCACCACTTCTCAAGCAGCTCTGAGCAATGCAGGGCAAGGAACTGAAGGCACAAAAGTCCCCTTTGGTACATAAAAATCAGTACTTAATTTTCTCCTGAAATATATTGTTGCCCAGTTCTTATTCAGTGATTCCTGTGTGGTGCCAGGACTTCCAGGCACAATCTCACCTTTCAATTTACTTTGTTTACATTACTCCTTCACTTTAGTAAAGTTCTTCTGAGATCCCCATGGGACTGTGCTAACCCAACACTCAAGACAAAGGGCAGCTCCACTTCATAGTTGCTGGCAGCAAGACTGGACAAAAACATAGTATGGTATTAGACACTGCCAGTTTCAACAGATCACGGCTCAAACAGTAACACAGATCACTGCTAAAAACCTCCATTGCTAGAAGTAATCCCTGCACATTTCACAGACACCAGTATTTTCAGTGACAAGGGACTTGGTGACACCACCTCAAAAGCATGAATATCCATATGACACAGGCTACACACACAAAAACCAAGGTTTTTTTTTTTTTTAAAGTGCTGCAAAGCAGTATCTAATTCTTCCTTAAATGTGTCATCTTTGCCTGAAAGAGTGCCAAAGGACCAATTCAGTCAAAAATATCCACACTGAAGGGGCTTGATATAGTTGCCTAAATAAAGGTCTAGTCTCCCTGCCACAAACCTGTCCTTCCATTCCCACTGACATCAGTGTTTCAGTTGCAAAGGACACAAATAACCAAAGCTGCAAGTTCTACCAGTCTGACCATATTCCTCTCTGTCTAAATAATCATCTTACCATACTTCTGGTCTTGTTTTTGAGTATGTTGTGCAAAACACCTAACACACCTCTGAAATGCATTCATCTACTGCTCGAAGCATTGCAACATTTGGAGCGAGATAAAGGATATTACTAAAAAAAACACTTTCTGCTGTGTGCAAGAGAGATTTGCTTTTAGCATGGGAGAACTAGCCCACAGATTTGAAATGCTCTTGACAGGAAAACAAAAGGTGTTAATAACATATCCTTCCTTCCATGCTCACTCCAGAGCAGAACCAGGTCATTGGAGAAGACTAAAAGACTTACCTACATGTCTGTTCTTTTGTGGTTTTCTCCTTTCTTTTTTAAAGGAATAGTACAAAAGAGTGAGTCTGAGCAAGACAAAAAGCTTCACTTTGAAATAAGTGCACTCTGCAGGTAGCTGAATCGTATCCCAAGGGCCCTACAAAGACCAGACAGGACTGCAGAGGCTCCTGTTTAGCCTGTAGCCCAACAGCCACCTCAGCCAAGCTCCAACCTCTGCTGTTACTGGAGTCACTGGGGAGGGAAGATGACAGATTTTCACTTATGTGTGAGATGGATGGTAGATCCTCTCCAACAGGTCCAAGTTGAATTTGGAGGGCAGGAGTACATCAGAGCTTCATAGACCTGCTCCCAGTGTGCAGCGATGCTGCTCAGCAGCGTCACTTAGAGTTCAGTGAGCACAAAGCTCTTAAGAGAAGACCGAACACTCAAAGTGACACAAACAGCCTGCTCTTTTAAGAAACAAGAGAGCAGATTCATAATCCCTTACTGGGATACAGCCACCAGCAGGTGACACTGACCCAGATAAAATTACTAGGAGGTTACAGAAGTGTTTTTTCTTCTTCAAACAAGTCCATGGCAAAGCTGGAGACAGAACTTACTAAGCCATTGAAAACCACTTCTGTCCTGAGTTCTTGCCTACAGTGACCTTGTGCAAGTCCTATTGCCTGATCTGCAATGCATGAATCCTAACCTGCAGTGATGTGTCTACTGGAACACCCTTAGTTCACTTCACCAACATTAACCCAAAGAGGAAATAAAAAGAAATGAGACCATTAAGAATACTTTCCACCACCTAGGAGCATCCTAGCTGCCTTCAGGTTATTACATCTGGATGTGGAGAATGGATTGTGCATGCCCAGAAATTACTGGCCAGTGGAAAACTGTGAAGTGCAGCTTTGATAAAAGCAAGAGGACAGAGTGGTGTATCTTCCACTTGCTTCCCAAAGCTGTGCTTCTCCGCTCCTCCCACTGAGTCCCAGTCCCTGTTTAAATGACAATGCTCTGTGCAATGGCATGGGATCTCCTGTGACACGGTACTCCCTTTGTCTCCGATACTGGACAAGCCAGAAGGTCAGTGGGGCAGGTGGCTTGGGATCAATAGTGTAGAGCAGAGCTAGTTCCTTTATCGCTTCACCTATGATGCCTGTTCCTAACAATTTCAACTCATTGGGATGTTTTTTAATTGAGTGCTCAACATTGAGACTCGTGGGAAGATTTCAACTCCAGAAAGATTAAAAGCAACTTGTAAATAATGATCTGCTCAATATTAATTTCTTTCATATTTAGGAGGTAAAAAAAACCAAGGCCAATTAACCCAATTTGCAGTATTATGTCTGTCATAAGCATTTTAATTCAAGTCAACTTGGGCCAGAAGAAGGATAAAAAGGAATAAACCCATTAAAAGACCTACAGGGTCTTTGGTCTAACACCAAAGGGAAGGTGTTAGGGGCCTCTAAACAGCCAGTTAATGGCTAGATCTGCTCTGAGATAGTTCTCTTCCATCCTTTTATGAAGCAGAAATAAAAAATAGCTGTAAAAAGCAAAGGACAACAAGGTCAAAACAAGGAGAGTGTGCATGCACACTCATCACTGCAAAGTGATTATTGAAAGCATACGTAAATGAAGAGATGAGGTGCCTGACTTCAGCACATCCACATTCAAGAGCTGGAGCACACAGGTGAGATCTTACTGCTTGTTACAAGAATTCAATCACATTGAAACCTTGCCCAATTCAGCCTAGGGATCAGTCAATCTAAACAACCCAAACCAGCATCTTCATCCATTATATTGCCAAAGAATTTTGATCTGAGCTTAAGGGTTTAAATATTCTTTTCAGCACCAACCCATCTCCACACCAGCATCCTGCTTGCTGGTTTACAGCCATTACCAAAACTGAGTAAATAAATACAGCAGCTTTGTTATCTCAGGGTCTGTCCAGGGCTGCTCACAGTACAAATACTCTAACTGCAGGATTAACCAGGAAGAGCCCTGGAGCAGACAAATACACTGCCAAGCACTGTAATACAGCTCAACACCCAGACAAGTTGTGCTACACAACACCTCTATGTGTACCTGGCAGTCAGTCAGGGACTACCTCACTGCCATTCCCAAGACTGCTCTCTAAGACACAACCAGAGAAACAAAAAAAGGCTATTTCTGTTGTGTTTAACTTAAAGTTAACTAGAAAAAACATGACTCAAAGTCAGGGGATCACAACTCTGTAATGTATTGTGCTCTTTCCCTCAGGG